GAATTATTTAGCTCGTTGTTTCAGAGTGGTTAAGATGCTTGCCTTCAGTCCCAAGGTCCTGGTTTAGAATGCTTTTTTATGTGACAGCTGGTCGAATTTTAAAAATATTTAAAAAAAAGAAACATTTTAAAGATATAGGCCTATTTAATTCTTAGATATTCTTGTATATTTTTATATTTTATTGCATGTTTTTTGTAGGCTTTGAGTGTTGGAGTGGCACGCCTCTTGGCGACAGACGTTCTCTGACCTCTTTTGCCACTTCATGGCGCATTAAAATTTGTATTGTGTCTTTGTCACTTGTGTTGCTGAAATAAATAAAATTTAAAAAAAAAATATATATATATATATATTTATATATATGCCTGCATATAGCATATTGGTGGTGTGAAAATACAGTTTCTTATAGAAATGAATCGGGCAGTATTTGATATCAACTAGCTCTAGATATATAAAATAAACAAAGCAGCGTAGTGGTAGAGGAAGTAAGTAGGTGTAGGGGATAAATCATCATATCAAAAATAAAGCCAAGGTCTTAACACAGATCGTGATTTAACTTCCTGATCTCAAATCCATAGGTCCTAAATATCTCGCTCGACATCTCTTATCTAACTTTATTTTATATTTTATCACTTTTAATCATAAATGGAATCGGTCGATTATATTTTTTTAATCATCATTATCGATATCATCATCATCATCATCATCATCATCCTCATCATTATTATTATATTCATTGTCGTCGTCGTTGTTGTAAAATTATCGTAATCTTCGACGTCATTATCGTCATTATCAGCATCATTATCATAATCATCATCACCATCATCGTCATCATTTTCTTTTTCCACCACATTCATATCCGTCAGTGTCATAAGGTAAATTTCCTCATCACCCATTATCATAATTATCATCTCCTTCACCATGAACACTCTCAACACTATTACTAACCACTACCACCTTCATCATACTTTTCACCACCATTATCTTTATAATTTTTTTTAAATTTCTGTAATACCTTATGTCCTTGTACCATTTGTCGCTACACCCTTTCTGTTTCTACCGTCTTGTTTATATCTTCTCTATGATCTCGAAAAAAAATACTTTACATTTTTTTCTCTTGTGGAGCCAGGCTTAAATAGCTTTAGGCTTATTTGGCTTTTCTAGACAAATTGCATTTTTTTGTCTAAATATATGTTTGTCTTGTTTCCACTCTTGTTTCCACTATGCATTGTGTGAATAAACCTGAATCTGAAAATCTATCATCATATTCTTAACTGCCATTATCCCAGTCAATTTCCTCCATTTGTCACTGCACCATCATCCTCATTCGTCGACAACTATCATCATTAGCAAAATAATGTCCACCTTTTTAGATGTTATTTCATATTGAGAACATACGCATTGGAACGGCGGCACACAATTGAGAGATGCGTTCAAATTAAATCACAAAAATATAAAAAGTAACTAAAAATGAAGAAAACATCAACACAATCACTGACAAAATATGCAGATATACACAGACTAAACTTTACATACAATATTAAAACTACAAATACAAATTTGTTTACATCACTTAAATAATACCATTGAAAATTAAAGGTATGGAGTAACTGTAATTTTTTATACAGCCATACTCCTAAACATTACAAATGTAACAATACATTATACTATATGTATGTGTGTAAGGGGGTCGCTCTCAAATATCAGCATTCTCACAAACACTATGCTGGGTGGGGGTGGGGGTGACAAATTTGTAGGCTTTTACATATGCATGAAAATGTTGATGCAGAATAACATGCAATATTGAAAATATACTTTATGATCAAATATATTGCAGTCATGGATATAATATATTCGAAATTGAGAGTTGTTTTGCAATATCAACATATTTTTTTCCAGAGGGGAAGGAGGGAGTAACTGTCGTCACTGCCATCGTCTTTGTTATTATTAGGATTATAATCATCATCAATATCCCATAATCATTGATATTATCATAATTGTATTCGCCTTTGTCAGCATCATCAGATGTTAATCATTTATCATCATCAAATCATTTTTTGTATATATATATATATATATATATATATATATATATATATATA